AAATGTTTTCCTTGTAGGTTTGTGATTATGGAATGTCATATATAACTTCTGTATGGATGATCTGGGGTAAAGGTTCATTTAAAAAGAAATGGGCCCCAGCAGAGCTGGCTTTCTGGAAATATAATGGCTGATTTACACTGTTTACCTGGGGTGATAAACTTGAAGAAATGGTTAATTGATGTGTTAATCCAGCTTATCCTTTGCTTGTTGTATTTTGATGTGCTTTATTGTATTTGTTGGGAAATATTGAACTTTATTTAATTTGTTATTTTTTGTATGTTTAAAGGTTTTTCACCTTCCTTGTTACTGGTCAAATAAATTGAAGAACGAGTGAAATCCTGAGTCTGGTTGATTCCTTCTCTTGTCAAGTGTGGGAAGCCATGATGTTTGAAGTACACTTGACATCTACAAACAGGGAGAGATTCCCAGAGCTCCACTCTCTGCAAGTAAACGTGTTGTCTATACCAGCCTCTTCTGCGCAGGTAGAGCATGTCTTTAGCAGCGATGGCCTCAACATGAGACCACATTGTGCACACTTAACTCATAAAATGGTCACAGCGCTTGTATTTCTGAAAAGCAATATGGCCCTCGCCTCGTTTAGTGCTTGATTGTGTTCTAAAGTACATTGCATTTTCAGTGTTACAAGATAAGAGCTGTGTTCAGAAACGAGTTTGTGGTCATTCATAGACAGATTAAACACAGTAATAAAGCATGAAGCTTGTTGGATATTTAACTCTCTCAGCCTATATAAATGTGAGGGAAAGGCGTCAAATAATTGAAATGTCAGCTTGAACTGGAGGACTCAATATAGCTTGATACAATACATGTTATTTTGTATTTTCATACACTTGTAATAAAAGTTCTACATACACCTCTATTTCTCTTCTTTTCTTAGGAGACTAGTTGAGGTTCTGTTGACATGAAATAAAAATATTAAATGGCAATGGCAAGTGGTATTTTTTGTCAATTTGTTTTATTGCCATTGGTTTAGTGGGTTGAAAGGTTGCAATATTAATGAAAGGTTATAATTTACAATTGCAATTTTGAATTTAATTACTTTCTGGACTCAAAAGTTTTTGAGACCTTCTCTAAAATGGTTGGTCAATTTATTGATCCAGCTATGTAGACAGCGAAATTAAGGGTTGTTAGTCAATATGATAATCTAAAAAAATCCATGTCTGATGCTATCGCTTTCTGATCACTTCTTGCTAGGAGGCTAATTTTGTGCAAATGGAAAGACTCTTCACCTCCAACATACAGACACTGGACTAAAGATGTAGTTGGTGAACCACTGAACTCAAATGACAACCAGAGCATGATAAGAAATGTATCTTATCCCAAATATCACAGTCACTTAAAATCCTTGGAATATCTGCCACCAAACTCACCATAGCAGAAACCCACATAAATCAACACATCAACTACAAAGCCAGTCTTGGTTTGCAAAAGATCACGCTTACAGAAACTTTTGGAAATGAAAAGTTTTTATTAAAGTGAATAAAAACATTCATAAACACAAGCCACTGAAGAAAGACAGACAAGGCAAACAAATACAAAAGAGTGATCTATCTTTTGAGTGACAGAGGCAAGATACAGATGCCTGTGAATATGACTGTAAATCGGATAGTAGGAAACTGCGAGCTTCCTGTTCAGTTTCAGGCTTGAGGTGAGGGCTCCATTTGGAATTTAAAGGCACATTTATTAAAATGGTTACACTTTACATTGTTGCTATAAACCAGTAGAGGTAATTAAATATATAACGACAACATTTAATGCTTCCATCAAGGCAGGAATCAACAGTATTACAATAAAGGTAAAATGAAGATACTAATGTTAATAAAAGAAACTGTTCATTTAAAGTAAAAGTGTGCCCATTGCATGCTCCCTACTTTAGCTGGTAATTTTATACATAGCTAGAAACACTAAAACTACATCTTAGTTGCTTGTTTATTAGTCCATTAAGAGACAGATATACATGGTTAATGTTTCCTACTAGAGCAGAAACTGACACATCTCAAGCATGATTGATTTTTTTTTTTTGCAATAAAAACAAATGATACTTCAATCATTTTAAGCACCGAAGAGCTATAATTTACTGAATCACATTTGAAAGATTTATTAAAGATAAATAAACTGGGAAGAACTTAAAGTGGTCACACTAGTTAACGTTATGCATTAATTAAAATTAACAATGAGCAATACATTTGCTACTGTTTATTTATCTTTGTTAGCGTTATTTAATGAAAATTCAAGCTCAGGTCCATTAAATATTAACAGATACAACTATTGAATTTAGTCATTAGTAAATGTTGAACTTGACAACAACTAGGATTAATAAATGCTTAAGTAGTAGTTTTAACATAATTCCATTGTTAGTTCATGTTAACTAACGTAGTAAACCAATGTTAAGAAATAGAACCTTAAGCTGCGTTCACACTACACACGACTTTGTCGCTGCACGTCGTCAGTGCCTGCGCTGGAGGGCGTTCCCCACTACTGGTTGCCTAGAAATGTTTGTGACATTCACGGAAGTTACTGTATGTCAGACAACAAATGCGTTTTATTGATGCTGCAAACAAACATTTTGGAAGAAAAAGTTTAAATATACATGGAATCAAATGCATAATAAAAAAATAAATAAAATGCATAATATTAAAGATGAACGAGACACCATCGCGGCTATTTAACTGCAGCAAACGTGCAAATACCGGTCTATCTGGGTTCCCAAAACCATTCAGTCACGGAGTCAGTACGGTGAACACCACTGTATACACAGAGATGTATCATAAATTATAGGACAGTTTCTGACTGCTATAATGAGCTTCTCGTTCAACTTGCCTTGATCAGACTCAGCACAAGAGTGACGCACTCCATTGACTTCACTCCTATTGGTTGTCGCTCGCAAATATCGCTCTTCATTTGCACAAAGTTAAAAATTTCTCAACTTTGTCGCGTCACTGGACACGCCCCACCGGTCGCGACCGTGCGTGTCACCGGAAGTCGTCCGCTCGCCATTGAAAATGAATGGTATCGTGTCGCTTGGTCGCGTGTAGTGTGAACGCAGCTTTATTGTAAGGTTTTACCACATATTAGCCGCTTTCTGACCAAGTAGTTACAGGAACATAGTTATAGGAACTCTCCACTTCTAAACAGTTCTAAGAGCTACTCTCCCCCTCTAAACAGTTCTAAAGCCCCGTTCACACCGCCAGCGATTTTGTCGCTGTGTGTCGCTAGGCTCTGTACTGTGATGTCGCTTGTGGGCGTTCGTAGTGCTGTCGCTCTTGTGTTATTGGTAGACTGCACGTCTGGCCATATCTATACAAAAGACATCACAAGTGATATATAATTTTAATTTGACTGGGAATAAAGGACTTTTAAGGCTAAAAGAAACTATGAGTGTTGGGAGGTTTTTATATCTCCACAGCTGTGTTCAGTGATTAAATCATTTACAGATAAACGATCGATCAATGAACAAATTAAACTTACTCATACTGTCACAAATTATAAAAACGTCATTCGAATTTGAAATAATCAATTTTCTTGTCCCTAATAGTCAATGTAATGCAGGGGAAATTGTAAAATGAACTGCAGCAGTGCTAACGTGCATCATATAATTACATCACTCGAACTATAACGTAAATGTATGAATTAAACTCACTGTCGACAGTTTCTTTTCCATGCATCATTTTATTATCCATGTATGTGGTTACAGTCAAATCATAAAAACAGTGAATCGTCCTCAAACTCTTTCTTTCTGTCTTGCCTGCACTGCACTCGAGACGAGACGGTGACGTGAGCTGAGCTCCACTGAAAGTCTTCTTTCCTATTGGTTGTCGCTCGCGAAAATCGCTTCTCATTTGCATAAAGTTGAAAATTCTCAACTTTTGTCGCTTGTCTCTTGTCGCTTGACACGCCCACATTCTGTCGCCAACGGTCACTGTCGCTCGTGTCGCCGGATGTCGCCAGCGCTCCATTGAAATGAATGGGATCCTGTCGCTTTGTCGCTGCGTGTCGCTGGCGGTGTGAACGGGGCTTGAGAGCTACTCTCCCCCAAACTCGGTTTTGCTGCTTGCGTTCGCACTGGCCAAGTGGCTATAGGAACTGGTAGGAGGGGTAACGCAAGCACGGCGACGGTCTTTATAGGGTCATCACTAGACGTAGCGCGGCCACATACAATAACAACAAACCAGCATGGAGGAGGCTATTGCAATGTTCCTGTTCTGCCTTGCCGGGACCTTAATAACGGAGAACGAACGGCGGCGTTTAAAAATTATGCTTGAGTTCTGTACAGAGAAACACAGAAGACGAAGACTCCAGCGTAATATGATATTAAGTAATATGATGGAAGAAGTTAAAAGAGCAGAGCGCAGGAGGCAAACAAAACGACGGGTAAGTTTAGCTAGCATTAGCAATCAGCTGGTTGAATGCGTTATGTTTGTCTTAATCCTCGTTGTAATGTTTTGCAAAAACAAACAGCGTATGGCAGACAACGTGTTGACAGTGGGCATGACTTACAAGTTGAACCAATCAACGTAGACCTAGGGAAAGGGAACTAAAAAAGTCCTCAGTCTAGACTAGGTACTGAAATAGTAATAGGAGCTACGGTCTGAGGAACTAAAAAATCCCCAATTTAGTCCGGTCGGAACACAAGAAAAAAAGGGTTCTAGGAACTGCAAAAGTCCCACCGGTCGGAAAGCGGCTATAGATATCAGTATAGTTGATAAATGCTACCACGTGCAAATAATAGTAATCATTTTTTATATTTCTATACAACTTTAAGGAGAACTTGGCTCACTTTCTCAACTTTGGGCAAGCCTTTTTTAAATGTTTTCCAAGACTACCATATCGGCTGAAAGTTTTCCCACATGAAGGGCAGAGGTACGGCTTCTCTCCAGTGTGCACTCGCTCGTGCACTTTCAGGCCTGATGACTGAGTGAAACTCTTTTCACAGTGTGAACACTTGTAAGGTTTTTCTCCAGTATGGATTCGTTCATGCACTTTCAGTTCTGCAGCTCTAGCAAAGGTTTTCCCACAGTCCAAGCACTCGTAGGGTTTCTCACCAATATGTGTTTTCTGATGGTCTTTAAAAACCATGGAGCCACAGAGAAAACTCTTCCCACAAAAAGAACACACGTAACGTCTCTCATCTTCATGATCCTCATGTGTGTCTTTAAGTGAACGGCCAAGAAAAACTTCTTATCACAGCGCTCACAGCTAAATGGTCTTTCTCCAGTGTGAGACAGTAAGTGAGTTTTGAGATTGCAGGCCTCTGAAAATCTCCTGCCACATTCAGAGCACTGGTGTAATTTCTCTCCAGAATGAACCTTCATGTGAACCTTTAAGGTGCTCTGTTGTGTGAAACTCTTCCCACACAACATGCATGCGAAAGGCCTTTCTCCCGTGTGAGTTTTTGCGTGTTCCCTAAGAACTTCTTTTTGTTTGTAACTCTTTCCGCACTGAGGGCAGGTAAAAGGCCTCTCTCTAGAGTGAATCCTTATGTGCCTCTTAAGCTCTCCTGAACTTGGGAAACTCTTTCCACATTGCCGGCAGGTGAAAGGCCTCTCGCCTGTGTGAATTCGTAAGTGCCTCTTAAGTCCTCCTGAATTAGTGAAACTCTTGCTACACTGAGGGCATGTGAAAGGCCTCTCACCTGTGTGAATCCTAAAGTGATCCTTAAGACTTCCTTTGCATGTGAAACTCTTCGCACACTGAGGGCAGGTGTACGGTCTCTCACCTGTGTGGATTACCATGTGAACCTCAAGGTGTCCTTTACGTGTGAAACTCTTTTCACACTGAGAGCAGGCAAAAGAGCTTTTAGCTTCAGTTCTTTTTTGCGAAACGTTCTTTTCAGTCTCTGAGCAACTTGAAGACTTTTCCCTCATTTTAAATTTATGAGTCTTCTTCTTCACCCCATTCAGTTCTCGACTTTCATCTTTCACTTCCATTGGGTCTAAAATGAACATAGTGAACAAAAAAAACTATTTAAGGATAACAAACGGATAAAGAAGTAAACAAAATAATCCCAAATAGATTGACATTTGATGTGTTCCATTCTATCAGATAAGGATGATCAATGATTTATGAATATTAGGGCTGTCAAAATGAACATGTAAACGTTCAACTTCACAGAAGAGAACGCAGTGCAGTACTGGTGCGTTTCTGTGAATCTCCTGTCCGTGTGACACACACACACAACACCCGTTTTTCCACGCGCCTAGTGTATGTTTTCAATTGTTTTCAATGGGAGCGCCGTGTTTTTTAAATGCTATGAGCGTAAAGGGGCTTTCACACAGGATGCGGAATGCGCTGCACTATGAAACCCATTTATTTCAATGGCTTGCGCTGCGAGAAGACGTTTTGTTGCTGCGTCGACCAAACCGCAAGCGCAGCGGTGCGCACTATTGACTTGTTCGCGAGCACGCCGCAGTCAAAGTTCAAAATAGTTTAACTTTTGCCGCTGTGCTCTGTGACGATTATCAGCGCGGCCAATAGAAACGGGACATAGAAACAAACACGGAAATCAAAATGGATGAATGGCTAGTACTGTCGGAATTTCCTGAGCTGCACGATACAATTTTGACATCGTCAGAAAAGCTGTGTCATGGAGACATATCTCCATTCAAGTTGGATTGTCCGGTGTGTTTTAATATATGTATAATATCTTCCTTTGTTGTCAGATTTAATGTTTGAATAAATGTTTTATTCTAAAAAAGAACTGAGCTCATGATTTGTGTGTTGACTTCGATGTTATATGTGTACATGCACACACATATATATATACATATATAATATCATATGGCATAGCGCAGCGCAAATCACATTGTATCTGAAGGGCAACGCTCAACCCAGCGGCCAGCGCAGCCTGCGTCCTGTTTGAAAGCCCCCTCAAGCGCCGAGCGCCCAGCGTTTTTTACTGGTCGCCAAGAGTTGAAAAATTTTCAACTTTGAATAAAAAGCAGCGCTCATCACTGTCACTTTTTACCCAGCCGTCCAATCACAGTGGAGGAAGGACGGGACGGGACTAAACCACACTGACCAACCTTTCATCTTTCTGTACGACATCAACCAGCAGAGCTAACCGAACAAAATGGATAAAAACAATTAAATTTTAGTATGAAACAAATTATCTGCGAAATCAGTTTCAAGTAAACCGTGCTGCGGATATTCTGTATCATAGCAACATAACGTCTGGCAACATGACGTCTGGCATATCATGGCATTTATTATAATGGGTTTATGTGGAGATTGTTTTAAATTCACAAAAATTAAAAGCTATTACATTTTTAAAAGCCTAATAAATGTTAAGAGACATCAGCAACAGTGTTGGTATCGCAGATGGCCTTCTTTAGTAAAAAGACAAAATATTAAATGTGAAAATAATACAATATAACAGTAGATTAAAAACTTTAATGTTAGGTAGGATTAATAATCACAATTAATTACAGAATAATTTGCAATTAACTTTTTTATGGGTTGACAGTACTAACAATTACACATTTTTATGCCATTTTGCAACTCTGATGCTTTACATTGACTTTAATGTTTACAATTTATTAATCAAGAATGACCACTAACCTCTTTGTTCCTCTGTGTCTTCATTTTTCATTCTGCATGATTCTGTCTCACTCATGTCTTCACTTTCCTCTTTAACAACCTCCATCTTTACAGGAGACTTTCGCGTCTTCGTCACGTTTCAAATTATAATATCAACGGAAAGAAAGTAAACAACGAAATATACCAATCTGTTCCACATTTCACGAAAAGAAAAATCAATGTAAATTCCGATATTTACAAGAACTCAACAAATATAGACAAGCATTACAATATTAGAATCGAGAAAATCCATTAGTAAAGTAATTATCCGGAATAGTAATGTCTATTGTTTACTTTTGTAAAACATAAATCATTTAATGTAATTTTGTCCACCTTACAGGCATATTATTCTCGACCGATTTTCAGCAGAGCTGGCGGCGCAGCCCTAATGACGTCACTGGCAAGCGACCGAGGCACTTCTAAATAACGGCGGTTTGCAAACTAAAACAGTTCATTGCTGCCACCGTCTGTTAGCCAAGACTAGAAATAGAAAAAGACAGTAAAAGACTAAACGAGAAACAGGACATATCAGTCAAAAATGGACAAATTAGTGAAAAAAAAAAAAATCTTATGCATTTTAAGTTTTCAGAAAAATTCTCCAGAAAATGTCCCACTTGCTAATAAGAAAAACATACAAAAACATATAGGCTAGAGCGTGATTAAATATTACCCAACCCTCTATACTGCTACTTGGCCAGAGATACAATCTCAACACAGTGTGGCAGTGTTGCAACTCACTTAATTGTTGGGGCTACAGGTCACTATGCTTGAACTTTGACCTGAGTGGTGTTGAATTGTAGAAAACACTGTATTGCAGTACAAACAGCTTCAGATGGAGATTGGAGAAGATTCTGATCAGAAGTACACTTCTGCAGACTGAACTGCTTGACCTCAATGCTACAGCAATTAAAACAGACCTTTTTTTAAATAAAATAAAAAATTACTGAAATAAAGAAGAAACTATAAACTTCAAGGTGAAAGTATTTATTATGCATTTGTTTTCGTACAAAAAATGAAAGTGATAGTAGCGCATCAAATCTCCGTCCAGCCTCCAAACTTGTGTCCAAACTTGGCCTTCACCTGTAGAATAGATTAAAGTAGGCTTGTGCTTTAACTTCAGTGTCAGTGAAGGAGATTTATCAGTGAGGGAGGGCAGCGCAGACTTTGAAACCAAAAAATAATCAATCGTCCTTTAACTGCACAGAGAGTGAGATTACATATAATTCTTTTAAAACGCATAATCTCTTCCTACAGGTAATTCTGCATAATGTATTGATGGCCATTTTGCTTCCAAATTTGAGATGCAAGACAATTATATAGTGGATAAAAGTAACAAGTTGCATTTCATTGTATAATCATTGGACAACTAGACAAATTATTGCATCACTATCCAAATTGATACAAAATGTTACTTTACTGTTATTAATAGTAAGATGGAACCCATACATTCACACTTCTGATGATATGTACAGTTATACGTATATGTACAGACATACCGATAAACATCACACATCTAATGAGATTATTTCCAAGGACAAAATTATGTAATAATTATATATAATAAATTCTATAGAAAATTTTGCAGTGAAAAAATAAATATGTGAGATGAAGTCAAGCTGTAGACAATTTCTGATAAGAAGTAATGACTGCTCTGTATCATATTCATAACAATGCTTTACAGTCATGCATATTCACTTCACACCCAGTGGATTCTCATGAAAAGCACGAGTGTGCTGAAAACGTCTGTTTACATGAAATAAATCTTGTCTATTTTTTTTTACTATTTCTAAAGTGCCTCACAGTTATAGCCTGTATTCTAGACAATGATTGATTGGAACTTTCTATTGTAAGCGCTTCTTGTGTTGTTGCCCCCATAAGATGAATCATTGTATGTATTCCTCATTTGTAAATCCCTTTGGTCTGCTAAATAAATATAAAAGGAAGAGTAAATCAGTGTATTGCTAAAAGTACTCTAGTGTACTTCCACAATCCAAGCACACATAGGTGTTTTCTGATTGGCCACAAACAATATTCCCACATAAAAGGGAGAGAAAATATGCATTTGACTGGCTGTGAGTTATTCAAATGTCTGAATGTACACATACACACTTTCACATCACTTTTCTTCCATCTTACAAAAGGACACCGATTACAATAGCACTCTTTTCAGTTCTTACTATGACCAAAATGACATTTTAAAATGTGATAGAGGATATAAGAATGAATAAAAGGCTTATATCGACATTGTTTGACTAATGATGTGCAAAAAAAATAGTCATTCACAATATTACTATTCTCTTAGAGCATCCCTAGTAATTTCGTAGCATTTCACAGAAATACAGCATCCCTAATAATTTCGTAGCATTTCACAGAAATACATCTCACTTAACATTCCGGTCTAAATGTCCAAAATTGCTTTTTGGAGGATATTCTGTCAAGTATTTGACTTGAAGTTAGAGCTGCATGATTAATCGTTTAAAGATCTCCAAACACCCACGCGATCTCATTCCTAAACGACAATGATTCGCCTGTGTCAATGATTCGCGACACATTCAGATTTGTGTTGGCGCTGCCGCTGATCCAGAGAGAGCAGTTGTCATGTGTGAAACAGCTTCACAAAGTCTTTTCAACCACACAATATTATCACAGAAATACTGGGATAAAAAGTTTATAGTTTGGATATAAACACTTCTGATCAAAATAGAGCAAATCAACTTTGGGAAGTAACTAGGCACTTCAAATAACAATTTGTGTCATTGAATCAATTCACTGAAACCATTTTTAAAAATAATGAATTCAAATTAATTAAACCTTTTAAAAAAGACTGCAGCAATTAACATTTTGTCAGAACCTCTAGTAAATTACATGTTATTATGTTATTGTGTTGTCATATTTAGAATCGTGATTCTCAATTTATCAAGGACAGTGCAGCTCTACTTCAAGGTGAACTTTTGCTCAGTTTCTCAACTTTGGGCAAGCATTTTTTAAATGCTTCCCTAGATTTCCATATCGGCTGAAAGTCTTCCCACATGAAGGGCAGAGGTACGGCTTCTCTCCAGTGTGCACTCGCTCGTGAATTTTCAGGGCTCCTGACTGAGTGAAACTCTTTTCACAGTGTGAACACTTGTACGGTTTTTCTCCAGTATGGATCCGTTCATGCACTTTCAGTTCACCGGCTCTAATAAAAGTGCTTCCACAGTCCAAGCACTCGTAGGGTTTCTCACCAATATGTGTTTTCTGATGGTCTTTAAACCCGTTGAGCCACAGAAAACTCTTCCCACAAAAAGAACACACGTAACGCTTTTCTTCTTCGTGAATCCTCATGTGTGTCTTTAAGTGAACGGCCAAGAAAAACTTCTTATCACAGCGCTCACAGCTAAATGGTCTTTCTCCAGTGTGAGACAGCAAGTGAGTTTTGAGATTACCGGCTTCTGCAAATCTCCTGCCACACTCAGAGCACTGGTGTAATTTCTCTCCAGAATGAACCTTCATGTGCCTTTTCAAGCTTCGTTGATGTGTGAAACTCTTCCCACACAACATGCATGCGAAAAGCTTCTCTCCAGAATGAATTTTGGTGTGTTCCTTCAGACCTTCCTTTTGCGTGAAACTCTTTCCGCACTGAGGGCAGGAGAAAGGCTTTTCACCGGAGTGAATTCGCAAGTGCCTCTTAAGGTCTCCTGAACTTGTAAAACACTTTTCGCACTGAGAGCATGTGAACGGCTTCTCTCCAGTGTGAATCCGTATGTGCCTCTTAAGGTCTTCTTGACGTGCAAAACTCCATCCACACTGAGGGCACGTGAAAGGCTTCTCTCCAGAGTGAATTTTGAAGTGATCCTTAAGGCTTCCTTTGCATGTGAAACTCTTGGCACACTGAGGGCAGGTGTACGGTCTCTCACCTGTGTGGATTATCATGTGAATCTTCAGATGTCCTTTGCGTGTGAAACTCTTTCCACACTGAGAGCAAGTAAAAGAGTTTTTGGCGTCTGTTTTCTGCGCTGTTTCTTGTGAAAGATTATTATCATTCTCTGACCAACTACAAGACTGTTCTTCATTCATGAGTCGATGAGATTCCTTGTTTAGATCTTTCTTCTTCTCCATTTTCAGTTCTTTATGTTCCTTTTTCACTTCTATCAGGCCTAAAACATGTTTAATTTTCCAAATCAATTCAAGAATGACACATTAAAATGCAATCTAACAATTTCACAGCTAACGGGCAAACATTCTCAGAACTTAAGCAAAACTTATGGTTTTCTCAAAGTTATGAACAAACGTTCTTCCAATAACGTTCATAGAACATTCGTCAAAACGCTAGCACAAAAATATATGTATATATCATTAATGGAACTTTTTTTCTTAAATGTATTAGTTTGTCTAACTTCAAAAAAAAATAATAATCCTAATTGGCACAGAAGGATCAACCAAATTTAACATTCCAATAATGTTAGCAAAATTATGAATGCAATATTCCCTGAAAGGGATACTTCACCCAAAAATGAAAATTCTGTCATTCATTTCTTACCCTCATGTTGTTCCAAACCCGTAAGACTTTCGTTCATCTTAGGAACACAAATGAAGATTTTTTGAATAAACCTACTTTATTGGTTCTTGCTGAAGCTCAAACGTGCTGCGTAACACAAGAATGAACGCCATTGGTTCTTGCAAAAGCTCAAACATGCTGCGAAACATGAGAATGAACCTCATTGGTTCTTGCTGAAGCTCAAACGTGCTACGTAACACGAGAATGAACCTCATTGGTTCTTGCTGAAGCTTCAACGTGATGCGTAACACAAGAATGAACCTCATTGGTTCTTGCTGAAGCTCAAATGTGCTGCGTAACACGAGAATGAACCTCATTGGTTCTTGCTGAAGCTTCAACGTGATGCGAAACACAAGAATGAACCTCATTGGTTCTTGCTGAAGCTCAAATGTGCTGCGTAACATGAGAATTAACCTCATTGGTTCTTGCTGAAGCTTCAACGTGATGCGTAACACAAGAATGAACCTCACTGGTTCTTGCTGAAGCTCAAATGTGATGCATAACACGAGTGAAACTCATTGGTTCTTGCACGTCAAGTAAACATGCTTGAGCTTCCGTTTATCATAACTGATTTGTGGGTGGATGAATGTTATATGTGAATAAAAGCCTGAAATCAATCTGTTAATCAAGGGACAGAAGCTCTCAGTTTTCATCAAAAATATCTTCATTTGTGTTCTGAAGATGAATGAAAGCCTTTGGATTTGGAATGACATGAAGGTGAATAATTAATGACAGAATTTTCATTTTTGGATTGACTATACGTTTAACATTTATATAACCAATAAAAAATCGTGGTTTAAAGCATGTTTTTAAAGCAAAAATGAAATAAATTTTAAGTTTTAAGAACATTGGCAAAACGTTCTTTGAACATGTTTTTGTTATAGCTGGGTTAATGCCATCTGATCTGTTATGATAAATGCATTTTGTAACATTTTCACTAAAACACACCGTTTCATTTAACATCTCCTGTGAACTGTTCCAAGTATGCATTCATTATCAGCAGTCATTAATGAAGAATCAAGAATTGACACCAACCTCTTTGTTCCTCAGTATCTTGATTTTCCATTCTGCATGTTTCTGCGTGACTCATGTCTTCTCTTGCCTCTTTAATAAACTCCATCTGTACAATAATGTCACTCAGATCTCAGCTGGGGGTTTACTGCTTGTTTGGAAAGGAGACTTTGTCACGTTTGAGATTATGTACAAATTTGAATGGAATGATCAAAGCTAAATAAATATGCAAAATAAATCCCTGTTCTATAATAACACTCATAAATGTTGCGCCATTTGAAAGAGACCAACAGCACTTTACAAAAAGCATTACAATAGCACATATCATGGCGATAATCTACGTTCACATTACATTACGGTAATACGGCCATGTTGTTTCAGAACATTTGTAAATAACATGAACTACTTTCGAAGGTTTCGTAACTATTTATACACCTTAAACAGTAAACACAACACAAATTTCACAGCAGTCTGAGTGCGCCCGCCGCAGCTCGCGTGACGTCATTTCAACTACGTAGCAAAATAAAGGTCTTTAGGAAATAATACAACATGTAAGCCAGATGGTTATGGTGACATATAATTAAAAGCTACATTTTTTTATCCAGTTGTATGTTGATATGTCAGCGTTATAAGAGCATACAATGTAATTTTTAGTCTATACGGTCTTTTTTTCCCAACGTCCTCACTCCATCCCTGTAGGTGGCGGAAATGCACCGAGATCAGTTTACAAACCTCTATAAAATATATAAAGAATTAGAAATACGTTTTTCGCATATTAGCAAGAGGAGCAATGCTTTGTAAAACATCTCCGATCTGGATAAGGGACAGAGGTCGATCCGTTTCAAGATGTGATAGTGTTGGCTTATCATAAGCTCGGACGTAAAAACGTAAACAAACGCGGCACGTGCTTTTAGCGCGTAGTTGATGTGTATGAGTTGGCATTCAGGCCAATAAATGGAACGAATATTTTCATCTCCGTAAAGGTGGCTAAGTCTCGTTACCAAACAAACAGGAAAAGAACAGGTGTAACAGCTTATACTTGATTAAGTTTGCATCATTGCTCGTTATTTTCCAGTGTATTACTGTGAAGCAGCTTGGAAACAATCTGATATCTGTCTAGCATTCTCGTAAAGATGGAGTTTATTAAAGATGAGAGTGATGCAGAGGCATGCAGAGTGAGAGATGAAGATACTGACGAACAAATAGGTTGGTGAGTTTTCATTAATGAAACGGTGTTAAGTTTAAATAGAGTTGTTTTATGCAGTAGTGGAGACTGGGGAGTTTTGTCCATCCATTGCTCTCAGTGTTTTTGCCCTGTCTCTAACTCACATGTGCATGAATACTTTGTTAAATGCTCTTTCTCACAATTGTTTTTGTATCAGCCCCACACCCCATTTCAATTGGAGCATTAATTCAAAGGGTAAACATGGGAGGAATTCCATTTTAATTTCAAGTTACGAAATACTGAACTAATATATCAATATGAAATATTTAAAGATTAAAAACAGCAGTCTCACGGTTGTGGCAAATGTCAATTGCTAGTTGGTCTGCAGCATTATTATTTTTTAAATATATTTTTAAACGATAAATGCAGATGCACATACATATTCTGTCATACATAAAACCTACACTTGTAACATTAAATTATAGTGTAGCTGGTTAAACTGTTTCTCCTTACCATTTGATACAACACTCCCTATAGTGTATCCTATAGTGTGGTTACCTATACTAAAATATAGTATACTGTAGGTATCCTATATTTGTGTTATCCTATAGTGTGGTCACCTATACTAAAATAACATTGCTAAAGGGATAGTTCACCCCAAAATGAAACATTTTGTCATAATTTGCTCACCCTCATTTCGTTTCTTTCTTTCATCTCCGGAACACAAATGAAGATTTTTGATGAAATCTGAGAGCTTTCTGTCCCTCCATAGACAGCTGCGCAACTGACACTCGGACAAAGTTCATAAAGAGATCGTAAAACTAATCCATATGAATTGAGTGGTTTAGTCCAAATTGCCTGAAGAGACACGATCACTATATGATGAACAGATTGAATTTAGGCTTTTATTCACATATAAACATTCTCCAACTCGCACATCAGTTGTGGTAAACAGAAGCTCAAGTATGTTCACTTGACGTGTGAGAACCAATGAGGTTCATTCTCGTGTTACGCGGGTTTGGTTGAGCTTCTGTTCATGTTCGCTAATCAATGTTTAATAAAAGCTTAAACTCAATCTGTTCTCAGTCTCTTTAGAAAACCTTTGGACTAAACCAATGTATTCGTATGGATTAGTTTTACGATCTCTTTACGAATTTTTTAAAGCGTCAAAGTGATAGTTGAGGAGCTGTCTTTGCAGAGTACAGAAAGCTCTCAGATTTATCAAAAAGATCTTCATTTGTGTTACGAAGATGAATGGAAGTCTTACATGTTCGGAACAACGTGAGGGTGAATAATTAGTGACAGAATTAAAATTTGGGAGGTAAATTATCCTTTTAAAAATTTGAGGACAGATACTGTTGCTTTATGCCATTAAGCTTGGCCTTGGATCATTGTTATTTTTGATTTCACCTTTTGTGTATTGATTTTTGACCGTATTCTGTTTTCTTTTTAGACCCGGTGCAAGTGAAAGATGAAAGTCAAGTGAATGACACACAGGAGACACATCTGTATCAAGAAGCTCGTTTCAGAAGTGGAGACAAATCTTTAAGTTGTTCAGAAACGAAACAGAATCTCTCACAAAAAGCGAAGCGGAGAACAGAAGCCCACAGTTGTTTCACCTGCCCTGAGTGTGGAAAGAGTTTCACACATAAAGGACACTTCAATGAACACGTCAAAATTCACTCCGGAGTGAAGCCCTTCACCTGCCCTCATTGTGAAAAGAGTTTCACGTGTAAAGGGCACCTCAAAAGGCACGTACGGATTCACACCGGAGAGAGGCCGTACACGTGCAGTCAGTGTGGAAAGGGTTTCAAATGTGCGACGAACCTCAAAGATCATCAGCGCTCGCACTCCGGAGAAAGGCCGTTTAAGTGTGATCAGTGTGGTAAAAGTTTTATTTTGGCATCATGCCTAAAGGCCCACATAAAAATTCATACAAATGAGAAGCCTTACGTGTGTGCTGTGTGTGGAAAGGGCTTTTTGCGCTTGGGCTGTTTTAATGATCACCAGAAAATCCACACCGGCGAGAGATCTCATATATGTTTTGAGTGTGGAGACACGTTTACTAGATCCAGTGCGTTGAAACAGCACCAAAAAATCCACACTGGAGAAAAACCTTTCAAGTGTTCATATTGCGGAAAGGGTTTCACTCATTCTGGAGCCCTGAAAAGACACGAGCGAGTGCACACTGGAGAGAGGCCGTATCACTGCACTGCGTGTGGGAGGACTTTCACCCAATCCAGTGATCTACAGAATCATATAAGAAAGCCTTGTCCAATGTTGTCACACAGTGAGCAAAGTTCATCTTCAGTTGCAGTTTAAACAGTGAGAAGTTGCAGTTGTGCTGAATGAGCTTTACAAAACAAACTTTTCCTTTTGAAAAGGAGGGTGTGTTGTCGCTGTCAGATGCCACATGTTTAAAGGAACTATTTTCTTTGATTGGAGTAGAAATGCTATTAATTGGACTGTTAAGGCACCACGATTCTTTTCTTTTCAGTTGTCGTACCGGTAGTTACTCGATCGGTCTGTCTGAAAATATTTCAAGAAATGAAGTTAATTTGGTAATTTCATTTTTTTAACTGTGGGTAAGGGTTATGTTTGAATAGGGTAGCTTGTCTCGTACAGTCTCTTCTAATCGAAGGCAGACACTAACGTGTAGTGTGGTGACCACATGCCATTTCCAGAAATAAAAAAGCTACACTAATCTTCTACTGTGTGTGATTTATTTAATGAGCACAGAAGCGGTTTATGTCAGTAGGAAAGGAGTAGTTCACTTTTAAAAAAACTTTTGCTGATAATTTACTCACCCCCATGTCATCCAAGATGTCCACGTCTTTCTTTCTTCAGTCAAAGAGAAATTGGTTTTTGAGGTTTTTGATGAAATCATTCCAGGATTTTCTCCATATAATGGACTTCATTGGGAACCAAACAGTTCAAGGTCCAAATGAGAGTTTGTGTGCAGCTTTAAACGACACCAGACGATGAATAAGGGTCTTATCTAGGACCCTTCGAGTCATGACTCGAAAAAAGATTTGCTCATTTTGATGAAAGAGTTTGAACAGGAGAGTCACGAACGGGAGAGTTTTTTTTTTTTTTTTAAATGACCGATCGTTTCGCTTCTTTTGGACCTTGAACCGTTTGGTTCCCATTGAAGTCCATTATATGGAGAAAATCCTGGAATGTTTTCATCAAAAACCTTAATTTCTTTTCGACTGAAGAAAGAAAGACATGGACATCTTGGATGAGATGGGGGTGAGTAAATTATCAGCAAAAGTTGTTTTGTTTTTTTTAAAGTGAACTACTCCTTCAATCAAAATGAATATAAATGTTGTATCTCAGTTCTGCATTAAATAAAACCTTATTTTAGGAAGTGCTCCAGGGCCTGTTTTCCATTCATATAAGATCAGCTTGAATTATAACTGTCAATGATTTGACACAATTCTTGTGGCAGTTGTTTCGTTATTCATAGTTATTCCTCACAGACTTGTAGTTGAAGCCCCAGGTCCATTACCTCAACCAGAATCAGGGTATGTTAACATGATGACCATGTACTCCGTTCCTACAGGTCCGTGAAAACAACTAAAAACGCTGTATTATTCATACCAGGGCAGTAGTTGATTTCATTCTGTGAAGAAACACTACGTGCCCGTCAACTGAACATGTAATACACATGTGCAGGGATGGCACCGTTTTTGCAAATCCACATTTTTGTCACATTTTTCTCTAAATGTTGAGACGATAACGTTATCGTTCTCAAAAACTTGCACTTTCAGGCCCCCAAAACAATGTTGTCATGTAAATTAATGGCTAAAACATGTTAAATGGAGTCTTTTATGGAGATACTGAAAACAGTCGCTGCTTCAGTCTATCAAGAGCAACCAGTTGGAAATGATAGGCAAAAATATATTGTATTAGATCAAGAAAGGCCACTCAAGTGCTTTATGTGTACCATTGTGTAACATTAAACATTGTAACGTTGTAACATTGTAAAAAAAATTAAGTTCAATACGGTTGGGAAATAATGTGCACACTTCAATTGTCCACTAAATTATCATTTCCTCTGGTCAAATTGAACAGTAATGCATTACAGTAAATGAGTTAATATATTTGTGGGAAAAACCTCAAATGGTTATTTTTGGTTTGCTATATTTTATTAATTTTTAAAAATCAATTGATGAAAAAAAAAAATGAATACGAAAACTTTTATCTATTTGGTATCAGATAAAGATATGCTCTCTGATTACAATTGTTTTTTTTTACATTGTTACAATCACTGGTAATAAAAGAATCGCCTATAAGCTAAAATCATTTTTCAACAGAAGTGTAAACATAATTTGATATGTAACAAATTAATTCATGGAATAAGCTACAATCACTTTTAACTAACAATTTGGATGAAACTGTTTCCTTTTAAGGGATGTATGTTTTGTGTTGTGTTCAGCAGAATTCTCCATTGCTACATCTTTAAGACAGAGATGGACAGACACAGATATAAGGAAGTTCAATGACATTATGAGCAGTCACAGGTGAAGTGAATAGTGTTGATCATCTCCTAACAAGGCCACTCATTAAGGTCTGCAAAGATTAGATGGTAAGCAAACAATCATTTTTCATAATCAATGCGTTTGATGCAGGAGAAATGGGCAGACAAAGACCTGGGTGACTTTGACGATGGCCAAATTGTTATGGCAAGGCGATTGGGTCAGAGTCTCTCTGAAACGGCAAGGCTTGTTAGGTCATCAGTGATGAGAATTTACCAACAGAGGAGGGACAAACCACAAACTGGCGACAGGGTGTTGGACGTCCAAGGCTCATTGATGCACATGGGCAACGAAGGCTATCTGGTCCTAGCCAACAGAAGGTCAGCTGTGGCACAAGTCACACAAAACTATAATGTTGGTTATGGGAGGAATGTGTCACAGCACATCTCACTATGAGGCTGTGAAGCCACAGACCAATCTGAGTGCCTATCATGACCCCTGTCCACCGTCGAGAGTGCCTTCAATAGGCATGTGAGTGTCGGACCTTGGAGCCATGGAAGAAGGTTGCCTGGTCCGATGAGTCTCGTTGTCTTTTACATCACATGGATGGCCTTATACATGTGCGTCATGTACCTGGGGAAGTGATGGCACTTTTTTCAACAAAAATGAACCATCACTGAACTTACTTAAGCTGGACTATGACACTATTTTCTTCTAGAGCTGCTGTACAGTTGAAACGAATGTACAGTTGCATTATTTTCCTGTTATCACTGTAAAGCTGCATTGTAAAAAGCGCTATATAAATAAAGGTGACTTGACTTGACAGGATACACTGTGGGACGACGACAAACCGGTGGAGCAGACTGTTCTCATGAAATGGCGTAAGTATGACACGCCAAGTCGTATTTCCATTTTTGGCGTGCTATCAACACGCATAATCGCTTTTCAGCGTGTTTATGAACGTCATTGTCTTAACGTTACATGACTGTATATAAAAATCTATGACCTACCCCTACCCCTATCCCAACCCCGTCCCTAAACCTAACCGTCACTGGGGTCAATACCATTTATGAGTCTTCCCACACCATCCTAGCAAAAAAAATATCTCTCCCCAGATGTAGATCTACATTTTGCTTCGTTTCGCTCAGACATTTAACGGTGTGTACATTCACGAGGAATCACTCGGTCATTTAACGGCGACGCATACACGCGGATAGCTCAAAATGCTTATAGATAACACACCACTTGACTTGACAGTGGTGTGTATGTTTACGCAAAACAAAGTCATGATGTCATGTTGGGTGGAGGGAGTGTGATGCTCTGTGAAATGTTCTGCTGGGAAACCCTGGAACATGTGCCAACTGTCTAAACATTGTTGTAGACCAGGTAAACCCCTACTAGTCTGGTAGGAAGGGTGGGTTCACCTGCACCCGAAAGGTATATTTTTTTTAACCAAGTTTTTTGTAATCCTTAAAGGGTTAGTTCACCCAAAAATGAAAATTAAGTCATTAATTACTCACCCCCATGCTGTACCAACCCCGTAAGACCTTCGTTCGTCTTCGGAACACAAATGAAGATATTTTTGATTAAATTTGAGCGCTGTATAACTACCACATTGGCTCCTAAGGGACTGCCTCTTGACGGCCCAAAAAGTCAATGAAGAAAATGTTTAAATATCCCAAGTGACTACCGTGGCTCAACTATATGTTTATCAAGCGACGCGAATACTTTTTGTGCGAAAAAACAAACAAAAATAACGAGTTTATTCGACTATTTCTTTTCTTCCTTGTAGGCCAGAACGAGACTTCCTTATAGATTTCCCCGACGCATGCGCGAGAATTGCGATCTGAAGTAGTGTAAGCAGATCGCAATTCTCGCGCATGCGTCATGGAAATCTAAGGAATTCTCGTTCTGGCCTACAAGGAAGAAAAGAAATAGTCGAATAAACTCGTTATTTTTGTTTGTTTTTTCGCACAAAAAGTATTCGCGTCGCTTGATAAACATATAGTTGAGCCACGGTAGTCACTTGGGATATTTAAACATTTTCTTCATTGACTTTCTGGGCCGTCAAGAGGCAGTCCTTTAGGAGCCAATGTGGTAGTTATACAGCTCTCGAATTTAATCAAAAATATCTTCATTTGTGTTCCGAAGACGAACGAAGGTCTTACGGGGTTGGTACAGCATGGGGGTGAGTAATTAATGACTTAATTTTCATTTTTGGGTGAACTAACCCTTTAAGGAGTCGAGAAAAGGAAATTTGATACTAGGATACTCTTCCCTGGTGGAAGGGGATAATGCACCCTACCACACTGCACATATTGATCAAGAATGGTTCAAGGAACGCAATGAAGTGTTCAAGGTGTTGCCCTGACCTCCAAATCCCCCAGATCTCAATCCAATTGAGCATCTCTGGGTTCAATCCACGGCGTCTCCAGTTGTAACTTGAAGGATCAGCTGCCAATGTCTTGGAGCCAGAAACCACAGCACACCTTCAGGGCTCTCGTAGAGTCTATGCCTCGTGGGTTGATGTTGTGTTGGCAGCACACAGAGGACCAACGGCATATTAGGCAGGTGGTCATAATGTTTTGGCTCCTCAGTTATGCTATAAATGGTTATACCCATTTATACTGTGTGCGGAAAACATTTCTTTGACTAACGTTTTTTTTTTAAAAACCACAGAATGTGAAGTCATATCACATCTGTTGCAATGTCCAAAGCAGACTTGCCATAATATCCTCATTTTGACAGGTGTACAGTACCACTTCCTATAAAGACTATATGGTCTAGCCCTGAAATTATATCTCATAAGCAATGATGTGGAATAATATTTTTGTATCTTTACTAACCCTCCTTGGTTGAAAATGGTTCCTCAGCATTACAGAGCCTGTGATGATCCATTGCACATATAGCTGTCATTGAGACATGTGATCTTTTCCCTTGTGATTTATCTTATCTCATTGAGCAGAGTAAGTATCATCCATTGCGGTGTGGCAAACTGTATTCCCCACTCCTTCCTCTAAATAATATCTTATAGTTTTACATTGACGGCTGAACATAAGAACTTTGCTAAGCCATCCTTAAGGTAACCCATTGATTCAGAATAAACTGGTAGTGATGGATGTCTTTGTCTAGGGTGTTGTTCACTTGTTATGACACAGTAATGACATGCACCAAGCGCTCTGGCCTCAGAGAGTAGAAATGCTCTCTTTCAAATGAACTTTGCTGATA